TAAACCCTCAATCCTTGGCAAGATTTACCAACCCGCGTAGTCGGAGGAGGCAACCCGCCCGCCCGTGACACCGTTAGCCGTGCTTACCAACCCGCTTTGTTCGGATCAAACAGGAGTGGAGCTATGACGGAAACGAAATAGGCGGGTTGGTTAACATAGCCCTTTTCCTGGTTGCGGCCACCAGTCTCTTTTCTCCGTGCACGAGTATAGGCACACTGCCGCTAACTGGATTGAAGGCGCATCACATTGCGTTGTGCAGATGACTCGATACTCGACTGAGCTCCCTTCCTTGGCTTGCGCGACGCTAAAATCGTCGCAAAACTAGGACCACGCTTCATTTCTTTTGAGGATCCCCGCCCGGTTTTTACCACAATTAAAGGGTAAATAAGTATCCTAATTGCAACGATTCAGCAACTCGGATGATGTTTAAAAGATGCAGCGATTTTGGAACTTGATTCGCGTAAAAGTAATTTTTGTCTGTTAAAAAGAAAATAGAACGAACGAAAATATCGCGTCGAAAATTTGTGATTTTATTCCAAATCACTCCAAGAATTCCTCGAAAACTTCTAAAAAAACTGCATGTAGCTTTTTGAAAACAAATTGATTAAAAATAAAAAAATGAACAAAATTTAATGAAAAAAAAAATACTTCGTTTTCTTCTCAAAGGAGGTATTCCATGTAAAAAAGAACATTTTACACTGTAAGTATTCAATCTAGTTGAAGTTGCTACTTGCTCCATAACGAAGGAACGCACAAAATCCCTCAAAGAATTAGAGCTAAAGAAGATGGAAAGCGTTGCGAGGAAGTGTTGTTCTCAGTCTCGGATTTCATCACCTCGTGATAAATACAACGATTAGGTGATAGATTACCACCTTAGTCGCTCTCAAAGCTCAGCTGTTCTTCGGAGGAGGAAGTGTACCGACTCGTTAAATACATGTCAGAGGCTTAAATGGAATTAAACGCACCGACGAATCAATTCTACAATTTCTAATCGCAAATTATAAATCTCGCGAGGATGTCCGTTTATGAGCGGATATGTAAATTTCAAATTACGACTTGTCACAAAGACTTGAGATAAGAGATTTCTCCGTTACTTACTTTTATTGCTTTATTTTATCACTGCTTATCATTTATTGTTTCTGCAATAACTATTAGCTTAAAAAATGATACAATAATTCCTATTGGGTTATTTATCTTTTTTGGAAGTGAGCTCAACCATAAGCAATGATGTCGTACTTATGAAATTAGTCGAATTCCAATAATATTTGTCTTGTAAGATACGTACAAATCTATTTGCCTCTTTATAGAGATATAATCTACTTTTACGCAAAAAGATATTAGGTCTAATGTCTTAAAAAAAGACGGATTACCGTCATTTCAGATATTCATTGTTCCGGCAAAGGCTTCTATTGATTTCGTGATGACGAAAGCTATGAAAAACTCCGCCCATATACACAAACTGAATCACCGAGTCAGAGGCTTTTTACGACTACTTTCCTTTCTACAAGCGGTTGGAAAAGTAGCGAGAAAATTTACTGATAGTGCAATTCGAAAACCACTCCCAACTCAGTTTTCCCAAAAATGCGATTTGGTGCGTTTTTAATAAAACCAGTCCTTATTAAAATTGAGCCAACGGGTCAGAAACTTAAACGAACGGCTAGAAAAAATAGCAAGAAAATTTACGGACATTGTAATTCAAAACCGCTCCCAATTAATTTTTCCCCGAATTGCGACTTAATGTCATTCTGTTAAGCTTGGTCCGTATTCAAACTGAACCATTGGGTTAGAGAGTTAAACGAGCAGTTAGACAAAATAGCAAGAAAATTTTTGGATGGATACATTCTGAACAACTCACAACTCAATTTTTTCCAAAATACTACTCGTCCCGTTTCTATTACACTATCCACATTGAAACCAAACCATTGGGTCAGAAACTTAAACGAGTGGTTAGAAAAAAAAAAACTTTACGTATAGTTTAATTCAAAAACACTTCCAAGTCTCAGTTTTGATGACAAAAATTAACCGTGAGCTATATGTGAGTTGGTGCAAGTATAAGTTTTAAAAGAAGCAAATTTAAACAATTCGATGTACAGAACTTGAGCGGAAACTAACAAGACTATGTTCCGTCAACTTTCCTCCTACTTTTTTTTGGATAAGAGGTTCATTTGCGATAGATGTATCATTTGCGAAAGTCATTCCCAGTCATTTTACTAACGCCCGGTAGTCATATCATTTCTTTTGATGCTTGCAGGTATCTGACAGAGTCTGGTAAAAAAAAAAGTTTAGGAACGTTTCTAGGAAAACAAAAGCTGAGCTACTATCCGACTTTACAAATGTGTGCGATGAGTGCGACTCAGTAGTGCAAGGATTGCATATATTTGTAAAGTTATGGCTAATACCTCAACTTTTGTTTTTGCAATATGAGTAGCGGAAAACCGAAAAATCTTGCCACTAGGAAAATTGGTGCATTCCCGATGATCATTAACGACCAGGAGAATCGGCCGTTTTTACCTTTTTTTCTATCAGTGAAGTAATATTTACCTGGACAACTTGATTTGTCTTCTCCAATTAATAGAACCGAAGAAGCATACCTCCCCGCAATAAGCAAGCGCAAGCTCCAATAAAAGTAAAAGTGAATCGTTTGACTCGTGTAATTGGCGGACGTTCGCATCTTGCTTGTTTTACACGCTTAGCTGAATTTGCCGGAGTAAATTTACATACTGATTGTGAGCCGGAGAACTCTTACGTAGCTGATCTCACTCAGATTGCATTTTGCAATCTTACCCAGCTCGTAATATACAAATAAGCTGGTAAGAAAAATTATTACCAAAAAAATATAACTAAAATGATGATAATGATAATGTTGTAATTGATAAGCTGGAAATCAATGTAACACAGGGTATGTTTCCTCACTGAAAAGAGGGAAGCACATTTGAAACACAAAAGTTTTCACTCGGATTTAAGACCAATTTCTTATTTTTTTTTATTTTTTTTGTGAAAAAATAAGGTAATCAAGCGTGAGTTAAAAACACATGCAATCTTCCTCCCGGTAAAATGAATACTTGTATTACTTCACTTGCGTTTGCATTGACCTCACATCTACTTGCGATTCCATGTAAATTTATTTCTGAAAAAGTTTGAGCTAAAAATATTATATAAAAATTAGCTACCTAATTGGTTCATTGAACCTTAAAAGGCAGAATTAAAATTGAATCATATTTTTTATAGTAGCTCCTTTTAGTTTTCTATATTTTTTTGGATCAGTCAAAATATTTTCAGTTATCAAGTCATAATTGAATGTAATTAATACTTTTTCATGATTTAATTATGATATTGATTTGTAGCTAAACTAATTGAGAACCTGAAAAAATTTCAAAATTAACTTGCAATTCACGGATTGTCATATTATTATTTGTAATTAAATAAGTCAATTAAAACTAATCACTCGCGGAGAGGAAAAATCAAGAAACCAACACACCGTAGTCTAATCGGCTATTGGAAACATTAATCTCGTTCCCGAATTTTGAACGTTAGGTTCATAAAAACAAGTATCTTCCTCTGATGCACGACTAGAAAAATCTGTGAAGAACAATTTAGAATATTGCAAAAGTATGCCATGAAGCTTTTTTTTTCTAATGACCTTGAAGTTGAAATTGATTAAAACAAAACATGCTATCGTCTCAATCACATGTTTGATTTGGAAATGTTTTATGTGTCCAGTGTGTTTTTTTGTAAAATTTTGATGAGAAGGAATTTTTTGTGATGCGTGGTCCTGAACTTTTTGTATCACTCCTTGTCAATTTAGTGAGAAATATTATTCATGCAGTCTTTTCAGCTTGCACAGAGATACCATTGAATTAAAAATTGGTCTTAATTTTTCACTAGATTATATGACTCAGGGAATCCGAGGTGATATCAAGCACAGGATTCAGTTGTGCTTATGTTTTGTCAATAACTGAATTTATTTGATCAGGTGAACATTGAAGTGTTCACTTAAACGAAATTGACGTAGGAAGTAGCAAATATTCTGACTCATAATATTTAATTTTATTTTGACGAGATGCCTTAAACCTTTCATTTGTTAAATTACATTATTGAAATTTTAAAATTTTACTTCTGTTTAAATAAAGTCAGCATTTTTTACTTCCAAGGGAATACGATTTTCCCTATAGGTCTTGAGGGGCATACAAATCGTATGGAAGCTCACATTCTTTTCTCGTGATCGCATGGAACCTTTTTAAAGATGACACGGCATTCCTGAATTTTTTCCAACGTATAACCACACCAGATTGAAAAAGAAAAGAAAAACTGATTGTCATCCCGAAAGTTAAAAAAGTTTACAAATTTTCTAAAGACATTATGAATTAACTGTCACAACAGCTAATTAAACAGCCTGAGATGCTAAGTAACTGCTTCTGTTAAAATTCTCGGGGTAGCAACTGGAGTAAATTTTTTCCCAGATCACATTTCGCCCTCAAGAAACCTGAATGTTACGAGTGTGAAACGGAATCTATTATTTTTGTGGAGTGAGGTCCGTACGTACACAGCGGAAGCAACTCTTCCACAGCATGAACTCAACTCTTACGGGGTGGATTGCACTCGTTTCCTGGGGAGCAAAACAGGTTCCTGGGTGACATTCACTCCACTTTGCATGCTAAAATTTCTAACAGTAAAAATCTTCAACTTCATTCAACTTCATTTTGTGTCAAGAAACCATTTCTTGCTCATGTGTAAAAGCACTTGAGTGCAAAGGAATAAAAAAAAACACCCTAAAATTTCCGATCTTAAAAAATAAAAATGCAGTTTTCCAGGTATTCCTATTTTTCACCATAGCTGATAGGATTTACACAAAAAAAAATTTCATGAAAATTGCACATCTTTCCGAACCACCGCACAAAATCCACCCCTGCGCCGCCTTAAAATCCGTTTTTCATCCCTAAAAAACACTAAATAAAAAGCAGAACACAAAACTCAACCGGACAAAAGGATCGGCTACGAACCTTATGCCTCATGCTCGAGGTCCTGAACTGATGGAAAAACCACAAAACTTTTCAACACATCCGCACTGGGGACCGGACTGGCGATTGTCTAGGGCCGGCAAAGGACTGATGGACGTTTCAGTGGGCGTGTAAGTATATATACCTTCGGGTTGACAATCGGGTAATCGTGTTAACAGGGTAGAAAGATTCCTCCTGAATTACACAACTCGGGGACCGGGACCCCGGGACCCGGCGTCACTTGAAAAAGTTGCATCCCAGTCGCTTTAAAAGTCGTGCAACCTCCACTACAAGAGCATCACGTATGCGGCGTCATTACACACACCACTCTTTCTAAATCCGTTCCTTTTCCCGCTCCTCCTCCGTTATCGCCGTCTTTTGCAGCTCATTTAACTATCCCCGACCCAGCCCCGGGAAAACCTCAACGGCGGCTGATATTTGTCAACACTCTGCAGGGTCTCGCCAGTCTACAGGGTGTTCAATGTTTCGAGCCCTCGAATTCCACCGAGCATCGTGTTCCACCCCCACACTATCCACGTAAGCCCTGCATAGACGATCAAATTCCGAACCAATTCCGATCAAAGTAGACATGCTGATGACTGGTGGTCACCATCTACCATCAAATTTTGACGGGCCGCACTTTTTTGTTCTAAGTAAGATCAGACCGGAGTACCATCATTCATCATTTCCTGCCACAGGAAACATTTCTGCCAAGTTTTCATTTTAAAATGAAGCAAATTAATGAATTTCAGACTGATGACTCCCGACACTTTGATGCTACTTTGATCGGAATTGGTTCGGGAATTTGATCGTCTATGCAGGCCTTTACTACCTTCCTGCTCATTTTTGGCCATTGATTACTCCCATGCACAGCCCTCCACCCACCTCCTACCCTAATTTTAGTCAATTGCTGACTCTATAGATTGAATTTCATAAATAACCGATCCTTGACCTCGGGTTATACCACCTATCATCCCCAAGAAACTCTCCAATCTGTAAGAACCGACTTTTGTTGGTCTCTCCACCGTACTTAAATATACTTAGGAGATGTCTCGACTGCCCTTAAGTTCGACTTAGCGCTTCTGATTGGCTTATGGTAGGGTTTGGATTCATCGATGGATGTTGCAGCTCTGTGTGAGAAGCCGACAAAATTCGGCCACTGCGCTGATTTTTTTAAAATTAAAAAGTAATGAAAAAGAATGTGCGGGGAAAACCTATCAGTGTCCTTGATGAGTCAAAATGAGACCAGGTGTAGACGCTTTGAAACCAAGAGAAAGGTTTAGTCAAACAGTCAGAAGCGTATATCTGAAATGAAAATAACTTTACTTCCAAAGAGCCAATTATCAATAAATCTAGCCCCTCCAATCCACAAAGTTTCAAGAACTTTGAATCCTCTTTGTCCTCTCCGTATTTTCTTAAGATAAAAATGTGTTCAAACTCAAAGCAATGATTAGTTTGAGAGTTGCCTTTATTTTAATGCTTTTCTAAAGAGGAACGAGAGATAGTGATGTTGACTTTCAAAATACATTGAATTGCTTTCAATTTGATATATTTTAAAATCTGATTTCAAAATCTGAAAAATATAAATGTACCAAAAAAAATTTATCGGGCAAGACCTTCCTAAAACAAATTGGAATACATATATTTTGCAATTGGACGTATTTCTGCCAAACGGAACTAATGTGCATTAAGAAATGAGCCCTTAGAATCATAAGATTATATGCATAACAGGGCTCACGACATAATGCACATAGTTCCGTTTGGTAGTGGTATACGCCCAATTAGGAACTACAATATCTGACTCATCTGAGAAACAACATGCGAGCCATTAGTTTCCCCATACACATAGATGTTGTTATGTATGAGCCAGAAATTGTTGTTCTTCATTTTGTGTGTTAAGTTGGAACACCCTGTAGAAGTTTGATAAAACACTGATTTGCTGAACCCTCTGGAGCGGCATCTTGGGTCGGATTTGTCATGATAGTGATTCGTTGCTCCTCCTGCGCATTGTTAATCGTTCCCTTAAATGGAAATTGTGTGCGCTACAGATTCTATCATTGTCATGAGCAAATTGAAGAAAATGAATAATTTTAAGGGAGCAGTAACTGATGAGACAGAGGCTACCTACAAAGTTACGCGGATCATTTTCGATAGTCCCCTTCACTGTGCTTATCGCTCGAATTTAACCGTAAGTAAAATGAACGATTTTAACCAGATTTACCATAAATATATTCCACGTTGCCTAATTTTCTCTTATTTAATATATTTTTAAATGGAAAATCAAGTAGAATTCTACACCTAACTTTCTAGGAAGAAAAGTATCCGTAAGGTCCGTTTCGGGGCCAAAATTATCTGAATTTCCTTATCTTTGCGAGTTTTTGCTTATTAAATGCCTATTCTTTACGTAATGCGTCAAAATTTGGTCATTTTTGGTCTCATTTTGGTACTATTACTGGCTTAAGCATGAGTTTAAAGGCTGATTCTAGCGTAAAATGTGGACTGAAACCCGCAAACCCGCAAACTCGCAAAACCCATATTTTTCGCTAAAATCGGCTTTCGACCCGTGTATAGGCACGTATTGGATCTGAAAAATGACCAACTCATAATGCATTTCGTAAAATATAGGCCTTCGATGAGCAAAAATCGCCGAGTCGAGGTTTAAGGCCCAAACCCGGCTCTTATTGATAAACCTCCCATGAGATTTTCTGTGATTTGCGCTGATGAAAGAGTTTATCTGTCTCTGTGTCATTTTTTGTCTAAGCTTGGTTGACCTACTTTAAATTCCTGTTTTAAATGATAAAATTCCACTATTTTCCCCCCAATAAACTAAACCAAGGAATAGTGAAGCATCTTGATGCATTTTGCAAGGTTCGGTCCCAGTGGCATCGCACTAGCTCCAGCAATTCTTCATTTCAAGGCCACTGAAAACACACCACCCCGTGGGAGAAACATTTTAGTTCGCAGAAAATTCCACGCCACGCTCGCCAGTGACATACGACCAAGTGGTGCGCAAACCTTGAGCAAAGGATCGCACTGTTACCAGAATGTGCCACCGAACTTTCCCCAGGAGCAACTTCAGATTCCATTCAATTGTCCCTCCAGAGCCGCACCGCACAGTAGAACGAGCTATTAGAAAAAGTTTGACATGTAATAGGCTAAGATTTCAAATTTTGAGGTTTTTACCGTCACAAATTCAATTTCAACAGGTGACCCTGAAAGAAAATTTCACGAAAAAACCAGTGGAATCATAGTTAACCTTTTTTGTTTCGTATTTTCAAAAATAGAAGCTTTCAAAATTGCTACATTTTGTCCCTCTTCTCCCATTCACTCGTTCCATTGTCCCTCTTGCGGGCTAATTATTGAAATTGATAGACAAAGCGATAGACAAAGATAACATAGGGAGTATGGAGCGATCCTATTGGTTGAAATGTGCTTCTTGTAGACTGAGGGGGTAAATGATGGACTAACATTAGGATATCTCATGGATTATCATTAGTTAGTCTATTATCTACCTGCTGGGTGTTTCTGAAGGTAATGTCACGGAGGAACCAGGAGTGTTACATTTAAACTTTTTCGTTTCATATTTTCGAAAATATTTCAGCTTGCAAAGTTGCTAAATTTTGTCCAATTCTCCCATTGACTTGTTCGCTGGAAAAAAAAGGATGATGACTTAACAATCTGGATGTAAAACAGTATGTGCGACAACTTACAAAACGCTGAGTTAACGCGCCACAGCAATTAGCTTTAACATCTTAATATTGCTAAAATAACTGCTGTGGCTGTTAACTAGGCGTTTTGTGAGTTGCCGCACACTTTTTTACATCCAGAATGTTAAGTAAGCATCCTTTTTTTCGGTGTTCCACTGTGCGCCGCTTAAAACACCGGATTCACGACCTTTCAGCCCCTCTCTCAATAAACTATGGAGACAATTCTCCGCCGAACAACCCGTGCGTCCTCAATCATAACAATTCCTAGTTTTACGACTCCAGCGGTGGCTTGCGATTCCTCTGTGCACGACTCGCGTCACATATAAGGTGCCAAATCATCTCGGGTTTTTTGAGACTCCCGTTTCCAACGAGGACTTATCGGTGCGGTTTGGCAACCCTGCATCGGATGCTCAGCTTGAGTAATGTACTTATGAGATGAGGTCTGTCCTAATTGTATTGCCATTATGGTAATTCTATGTAAATAATACATTGATTAGGTTGCAACGTGAATGACGATATAATACTTACCACGGAGTGATTTAACAAGTTTTCATCTTTCTAAGGATCGCATCCCGATTTTTTTCTTTTTTAATGGTAGCATCAGAATATGTATAGATTGAAGAGCGATAAATAATAAAATAATAGTTAGGTCCATTTTCAATCCTCTTACATTATTATTTTTTTCGATTTCTGAGGGTGAAATGGCATTTTTATTAGTAAATTGGAGATCATGGTCCAATTTCTAACCAGCAAAACCCCTTATCTCTGGTTGTATTAAGTTCGAGTATTCATTAGTTGCTCCCTGGCACTAGACAAGGCATCCCTAAAGATTTAGAGTGCTCTTTATTAATAATTTTGCCGCTTTATGCGTTGTTGCAAAGTTAAGCATACCACATAACAATGCAAGTAACAGGGTATCAGCGATTATCCCCGCCACCTCATGTTGCTCATCTTAATTGCTAATAAATATATGTTACTAGAGGCCTGTGGCCGCTACGCGGCTGCCAAGCACTTGGAAAAACTACACGTAAAAAATAATAGAACAACCACACTCAAGTTATTTAAGAGATGAATGGATTCAAAAGCCGACGGGTGCATGCGAAAGAAAGCATATTCATCTCTGATTGCAACGTTATGTACAAATTTTTATGTTTTATTTTCGAACACCGTTTTTATAAAGCTACAGATAGTTTTTCCCGCGAATTTGCTAAATAATCTCAAATATATGTATCGAAAATTTCGACGGGATATTTTCGTTCATTCTATTTTCTTTTCATGTAAAAAAAAACATCCGATTTTTTGAATTGTTACTATGAGGACACATATTTTCCCTTTACTTATGGTAAAAACCTGAGCAGAGAGTCAATGATAATGACACGTAATCCAAGTTTAACAGTGGCTTTAGCGTCACGCGAGCCAGGGAAGGGAACGCGGTGGAGTTATCTTTGCAGTATGACGCGACGCGCCTTCTGTCCGGCTAGCGGCAAAATACCTACACCCATGGTCGAATAGTTATCTCTTTACGCCCGCCGTAAATGAAATAAAATATCG